CACCCCTGTGCTGCTCGAGACCGACCAGCGACGCGCACGAGTTCGTTATTGAAGAAAAGAAGCGCGCGAAATCATAAGACCCGCCGAGGGGGCAAAAGAGTCGCCACAGAGAAAACGCCATTTCTTGCAATATAATGAAACCCGTGAAACGACGCCTGCTCGCCTGCAATAACGACGTTATGACCGATTATGAGCCCCCCCAAGGGGAAATATTTCCTTTTTCAATAACCTCTTCACGTCAGATCCACCCCTTTCCTTCCTTATTCGACAGTGTAAAAGCCAAAAAGATTGCAGTGTGCAGTCGGGCAGATAGCACGATCGCCCTGCACTCTAAACAAAAACGACACAAAAACACGTCACATCAGCAGAAAATTTCGCAGACGCCATTCAGCAGCGGTTTGCATAAACTGAACGCCGTGGCCCAGTGCGGCCAATGAACTGCACCAGCACCATACGCGTCATCGAGGAAGATTCACAAAATTACATACTTCATCATTTATTTTTATTGTTAATTTTCGTAATTTTACGCAGAAGTACTCAGGGCGATTTAATTTACCCTAATGTCACTCGTACAGGAAACGTGAATAAGCCGCACGATTAGCGAAAATAATTTAAAGTCTTCGCGTGTTGCGCGAGACTTGGAGGACGCATTTTTGTAACAGTTCCTGTTTCCGCAAGGTTTATATTGACGAAAATCGCGCGTACACGTGGGACGCGGGGGCCAATAAATATTAGACAATAATTTTTTAATAATAATTCTTTATGGCAAGTTAAAGTTTGAAAACGGGCGCATGTAGAACGTAGTGCCTCGGGGTCGAGACGGGGGCTCAGGTAATCGGGGAGCTGATCGAATAATTTGCGAGTTCCGCAAAGCATTCGATGATGCAGACAGAAAAAAAAAACACTAATCAAAAAATAAATAGAAAAAAAAAGACTGACAGTTCACTTGTTTGCTGGTTCGAGTCGAACCTTAATGCCACGGTCAGGGGCCGAAACTGCCCGGCTAATAGCGACAATCGCGTG